TAATTCTCGATGTTCTTTCAGAGCACATTGTCTAACCCAAGGACTGATCCATATCGCTTATATCTTCACACCTAAGATTTAGCAACATAGATGATGATAACATGGTTTATGTAATTTTGATCTTGTGGCCTTGTAAAAAAGGAAGTTCTTGAATGTGGTTAACTGCAGGGTCACCAACTTTAGATGGACCAAAAGCTCATTTTTAGTATTGACCAGCTTAGATGTTTAGATTCTTGTCTATCGTGTTACCATGTTTTTTCTGTTTTCCTTGTAATGTTCCAACTTTCCAAGTTTTTGTGTTTGTGTTCCACCGTAACTAGGGGCCCTGTTCGTCTTAAGGGTCAGTAAACCTGAGAATGTTTTATCTGTTCTCCCGTACCTGTTCGTCTTAAGGGATGCTGATAGTTTTATTATATAGGATGAAGCACTAAGGGTCCAAGGACATTTATAACTGCTGGATCCAAATTTTGCTTCTCTTGACCACTTCAAGGTGGTTCTTCAATTGATGAGACTTTTCTAAGTCACGTCACTCAGCAACCTTGATTTAGTAATAAAGGGATCCTGATTGCACCGTCAACTGTATAATAGAAGAATACTCCAATACTTCCAGCATTTGCAGCAAGTCTTCCCGTGCATACTGTTTTGCGAATCATATTAAAAACTTCTTGGCAACAACACCTGTTTCCTTTTCTTTATCGGTATACATCATATATATTTTGCTTGTGAGGACTTGCAAATATTTTTTTACAAATGATGGCTAGAGCAATCTGGTTCAATTGAGTTTCGCCATTAATGTTGGGTTAAAACTTATTCGAGGCCTTGGAAAAAGGGCTTAATTGCAGATTGGCCCCTGTAGTATTGTTGTTTTGCATTTACTACTACTGTTTTATTGTTGTGGATTGACCCTGTGGGCAAATTTTTCTTTTTTACTCGTTTATCTTCAAAGAAAGAAATTTTGTTTTGACAAATAGACCCCCTGAGGGTAAAAGAGCCAACAAAATTCAGCCAGATCTACAAGAATAAAACTAGAGGTATAGTAAATTCAAAACAACAACACTACAGGGGAACTATCCGCAAAATTAACCGGAAAAATAATAGGGTTTTTATTCCTTCACACTGAGAAATATTTCCTCGATTAAAGTCATTTTTCATCCTCAGTAACATGCTCCATTTTTATGTGCAGCAACCCAACGATGAGGACCCGCTAAATCACGAGGCAGCTGCTGTTCTACATGACAACCCGAGATTGTTCGAGACCAATGTGAGGAGGGCAATGGCTGGCGGATATGTCGGTAATACTTACTTCACGAGATGCATATAAATGAAACACCTTCAGAATACCTCTCAACATTCGCAAGCATTGTATGTAAACCTTTAAGAACTGAGCTGGCCCAAAGTGCTGTAAAATCTAAGGTGACTGATTGCGGGTACTCTGGAAACTCTTCGTGCGTGTAATTTGAACTTTGAGCTGTAGCGTGTGAACTTGAAAATTTGCTGACTTTTTGGATATTTTTTTATTGACTTTCTTGGTGAAATCTGAGATATATGTACCGCAACTATGGTAATATAGTGGATTATGCTCTTCCTTATTATACAGACGTTTGGTTGATTTGAAAAATTTGGTATTTGGTTTTGATTAACAAACATCCAGTGAAGAAAGTGTACTTTCTTTTTCTTACATTTTCAAAAAGAATCTCCTATGGATCTGAAGTCGATAATTAAAATGGATTCATCTTTTGGCCTAAACAAAATCACAAAGATAAAACATTAAAAAAGCACCTACTCGGTCTAAAAACTACTAAAAAAACAAACACCAAATTTTAAAATGGTTCAAAATCTATCATATCTTGTCGGATTCAGAACTGAAGTTCTAGAACAAATATTGTACAGGAAAAATGATCACAATCAAATACTGGAAGACGTGCAAATTATCAGCAAATGCAATCCTAATTCTTTACTCCAAGCGCCAAATTTCTGTTTCCGCTCATGGAGTAGCCTCGTAAATGATACAAGCGGTTACAAGATTCACTCTTCACTCATTCTTCTAAAACCTCGATGATAGTATGCCTTTTTATTAAATCAAATAGAAAATTCAAAAGGCAGAATACATAACATTTTCATGTCTAATAGTGGAAAGCCGCTTCAGCTCTTTACAGTGCCAAAGAATCTGGAGAGTGGCAATGGACCATCCTCCTCATTCTCACTGCTGACATGCTTATTTCTTGACCTATGCTTTCTTTCCTTCTTCGATTTCTTAGATCTTGACTTTGACCTTGACCTTTTCGAATCCCTCTCCTCATCGCTGCTGCTTGAAGATTCAGAGGGTGAACTTGAGGAAGTTGATTCATATGATCTCCGCCTGTGCTGCAAAGCATAAATTAGAACACATAGGTGAGTGTTTGTATTACATAATCCGTTGGATGAGGATCACTCAAAAAAATGCTACAAAAATAGGATACATACTAGCAAACAAGGCAAAGAAGTTGATGGCATGAAAATACCATGTGAAAGACATGCCATACTCATGTTAATAACTAAGAAGTTGCAGCAAAAATAGTGTTCCTTTGATGGAGCAAAATGAATATTCCCTTTTTATTTTGGAGGTTTTGGACTATCTTAGACTATTGACTGCTATACTAATTGAAACAGTCATGACCATCAAATCACAGCAAAAAAATTGTTAAAATCATTTCATGCTCCGGAATATAGCACTTAGAAAGCAATATTTCCCCTTCATATTTATTCTGGTGTCACCGTGAATTGCACTGCCATGCTTATCTCCTTCTCTAATCAGGTATACCGCATATCAACAAAACTTCAGGATGTTGTCTTATGAACTTTGATTGACTGAGATGATCCTTACAAATAGAATGCTTTACTTTTCCCTATATAGATTTAAGTTCTCTACCAACTTCTAAATTTCAAATTACATCCTGAAATTAGATTCTTCATCAGTGCATGAGTGGGAACCTTTAACATCTCCATTCTTCATGTTCCGCTTGCACCGTTTGCACATAAACACTGTAAATAACTACACAACCTACACACATAAAATGTATGAAAAACAGTTCAAGTGACAGATTAAAAGCTTTGTCTGATATTAATAGGAGTAAGCGTAACAAGCATTTGCTTCAATGGAAAAGTGCACATAGAGAAGGATAAATTTGAAAATTAAGAAACCTTTCTCTTTCTACTACTCCTTTTCTTCGAATCTTTATCCTTCTTCTCTGCATTAGAATGCCTCCAAGTCAGTAAATCGATAACAGAAGTCAATTAAGTTACTTGGATGCATATAAATTCTAAACTTCTATGTTACCTTTATTATTATGTGACTTGCTGCTGGAGTGGTTTCTCCCAAGGGAAAGCTTCCGTGCTCTTTCAGCGTCAAGCTGCGCCCTGTATTCTCTCATCATCCTATCCTTGTCTGCCTCCAACTCACCTTTTTTGAGCTCATCTTCCTAAACAAGGAAATAAAATAGAGGATTCTACAAGTATCAGTAGACCAAAACTACAGTTGTCAAATTGCACAAAATGGTACAAAGTAAAACCACCTGTGGATGCTCAGAAAGATTGAATTTGAAATATACAAATTTTTTTAAATGCAAACAAAGAGATTACAATTTTATTGACTAGGACTAAAGCAATCATATGTTTGAGATTTTGATACCAGCATTTATGTTCCAATAGCGAAAAAATTATGGTTCTCACCATTACAAAAGCATCATAGCCATCTTAATTGACACTCTATTAAGATTGTTTTTAGCCAACTTCACGAACTGTATCCCACTATTCATGGTCAACTATGCAGAACGAACAATTATATTATCAAGCCATGTCAATACATACAAGACACACGTACTTATATAGTCTCCTAGTCTAACATGTCTGCAATTTCATTACACGCTTGCAAATTTTCTCAGATGCAACTCTTTAGTTGACCCTGGTTGGCACTCACTAAATTTGTACTGCAGATATTGGGTATTGATTTTGTCCTTTAATTTTTATGTTCATTTGTAAGCTTTAAACTGCAATAAAATGGTGATTTTACCAACATTTACACATAATAGAAGAGTTGCATTAAAGGACTTAAACAGCAGGACTTTGTCATCATATATTCATTTATATGTATGAGATGTTAATGTTATCACTGTAAGAATTTTTATTTTAGACAAGTTACAAAGGCCTAAACTTCCTGGTTATATGATGAAGATTAAGATAAATGTGTATAGTTTTCCTAATGTTCTATGACTTGTATCAATTGGTCAGGTTTTCAGACTTTGACAATGTACATCGATGTCTAATGTCATATAGAATCCTACTCCTGAAGGATCCTCTTAGAAAAGGTAAATGTTACAATAATTTCAAGATTTCATTTTCATTTTCTCATATCTAGCAGACCTGCACATGGTAGATACCACCTTTACAAGTGTATCTGCAAAAATGTAATTGTGTAACTCTGTGACCCCTCTTAGAAAAAAATACTAACATTGTACTTCACTTAGCCATCATTCAATCTTCCTAATGAAAGAATTGTGCCAAAATCCACAGCATATGAATACAGAAACAAATAAACCTCACAATTCCAAAAAAAGCCCAAATGTTAAATGGAAACATAGAAGCATATTGACCCAAGATGTTACATTAAATTATGTATGAATGGCACAGTAACACATATTATCTAAACAAATAAAACTCTCAAAATGAAGAACATGGCATGTCAAATGCCAAAGTATTACCTTCTGTTTCTTTTTGAATTCTTCCCACGTTATAGTGTGAGATGTATTAAGGCTGGCCAAACGAGCAGCATGCCACTCTGGTGAATGAAATGAACCATCCGTCTGCGTCGGCCCTCGTTAGAAAAATTCAAGGAAACAAAAATAGTGGCAAACAGAACATTATCGGATCAAATATAAAAAACTGAAAGAAACCTGAAAGGGGAAAAAGAATAAAAATGAAAAGATAAGCGGCCAACAGAGGACATCTTTGGATGCAATTAACTGTCTACATATAAAATTCAGAGAAGCACAAGACCAAATTACATTGGCTCAGTGCTCTAACTATATGACTTCAATTAAGAAAAGTTCTTTTAGCAAAAATGAAAGTGCAACTTAAATCTACGTATAACAAATTCTAGGCAAGTAACCTAGTGACTAAGGAGGTTTAGTCACAGATTCACAAATGTGACATAAGAAAATATTTTTTCTTCAAATACAGCTTATTTGATGGGAAAAAAACAAACCGACTCCAGTTCCTAAGTTTTGCTTTCATCATTTACCCACAGACACCAGAACTAATGTGGTACTGAAGATATGTTAGCTAAGAATTTATGACTCTAATCCCTAGATGAAGATATAAAAGTTTGTGATCAACAACATAATTTTTCAGGAAAATATTGTGTTCTAAGCATTATCTTCAACCTTGCACTCAATATTTTAGAATGCACGTTTCGCATAATACCTTTACTTCATACTTCAAAGTTTCAATACCACTACTTAAAAAGTGGCCTGTGCGCCCGCCTAGGTGGCCGCTTAGACCTAAGTGGTACTGAGGCCGACCACCTAATTCTTAGGAGCACCAAGGGAAGCATGGATTGCTTACGCAGACTACACCCAGTTAGAAAGGGGCATATTGCTCACTTAAACATAGTAATGGTTGAAGGGAATGGGCTAGGTTACAACTGACCAGATAAAAGCTCGATGTCCAAGTCTAAGATAAAACAGTGAGGACATTGATTGAATCTTCAAAAATAGTTCTTTCCTCTCTCTCTCTATCAAAAATGCCTATACACCACCTAGGCATCTGCATAGATGCCTGGGCTCTAAGCACTAGGTCTGGCGCCTAGAAGCGCCTAACACTTTATAAAACATTGGTTAATACATCAGCTTTTTGCATAGTGCTGTGTGATGCGTTGTGTAAATCAGTACACAACCTAGAATAGACGAAACATTTATTTCAATGTGATTCCTGGACTAACCTATACTTTTGAAGTTTATAATTCCAGTTTTAAAGAAAATGTATGGCTGGTGCACATGGTTATTTATTGAAACAAAACCATTTTAAGTGCAAAGGCCATCACTCTACTTAAATAGAACTACACAGTAGCATAATGGAATACTAGCTATTTATTTGCAACCAAACTAGAGAAACTGTAGTTTTTTTGCACCCACTATGTTAGAAAATGTACTCACAAGGGATCATATCAATAGAAATAGATTAATCTAACATAACTGATGAATATTTTCAGAAATGTAAACACAAAAACACATTCCTATTGTATGGTTTTATATTTGCATTCAACAAAATTGAAATCTGACCCTCGTCTAACAAAAAAGAAAGATGCAAATATATTTATCAGACCATTACAACACATTTACTCAAAACAGTATGCATATGGATAAACCCAAAAGGGGACCAGGCTAGATCTTCGTCAAACACAGCCAGTAAAGATTAAAGAATGGTACTTCCATTATTTAATGTAACAGCAACAGTGACATTTTTTTGTATTTTAGCGTTAAAGTTCTGTTTCATCCGCCGATTACTACAAGAATGAGCACGACATTACAAGATTATGATAAGCAGTGCTCTTGGATTCCAACACTCACTTCTACCAATACCCATACACTTGCATGCTGAAAAGTATGGCAAATATAGTGTCAATTCCAGGCTTTCAGTTGATTCCTTCAGAAAAAGGTCGAAACGGGTCAAAAACGTAGAGGCTTTATCAACAAATAATCTCAGAATCTTTATCAAGCTAATGGAGCGATTCTAGATACACATCAAAATATGCTAAAAAGATTCAAACCGATAAACCTCACCAACTAACCAAGGCCTTTCAAGATTCAAAACCCTAAAAACTATCAAGCACAAAAGGGAACATGCCTGATCTTTATTAAACACAATTCTACCAGTAAAGTCTAGAGAAGGGAAGCCTTATATAATTCAAAAAGCAACATATATTTTTTTCTCAATTTCGATCGGGCCATTGATTACTCCAATTATGAGCACACGATGATTATACGAAGTTATAATATCTAGTGCTCATGGGCAACTCCGTCCCTCACTTCCCCCAACACCCATGCACTTCTACACTAAAAAAAAAATGCCAAAATTGGTATTAATTCGAGAAAACGTCCGCATAGTTCAGTTGATTCTTTGAGGAAAACCTACAAGGGCACTACCGCAACTATCTTAGCAGGCATAAAAAATATCTCAAAATATCCTAAAAAGATTCAAGAACATAACTTTAGCAACTAAACAAGCTCGTTTCGTATTCAAAACCCTAGAAAATCCAATGGATGGTAGTATGAAAGGGGACGAACCATTCCGTCTTCGATCTCCTCGGGCCCACCGGAGGTCGAACCCAGCTTCGCCCTCTGCATAGATTTGTACGCTTGGTTCTTCCCCATGCTTGAGGACTCGGAGATTCAACAGGAGATGAGCTCGATCGTCGGGCGAAGGGGATTTTTAGGAGATCAGGGCTGATTTTTTTTTATGAGATGACGAGAGAGGGAGAAAGTGGGTGAGCTTTTGGGTTCCGTTTTGGGTCTCGAGATGGGAGAGGGATGGAGCTTTGCTGTAGTCCTGGATATATAATTTATACGGATCAAGGGGGGGTTTTTTCTGCAAAATGCAAACAAACTAGTGATGGGGTTTTGAAATGATGCTCGGTTCTTCACCCTCCTCCTCCAATCACCGGAATTGTTGTTAGGCCCCCCCTAACTATTTAAGTTGTCTGAAATTAATCCCCCTTCAATCAAGAGCAACATTAACAAGATTAAAAAAAATAATAATGGGGTCTCTAGCCATTTCAATGAGTGAAATGACTAATTTCATTACTAATTTAGACCAATGCCCGAAAAGAGGACACATAGCAATTAAATACCTTACATTTTCACTCACTTTGTACTTATATACCCTCTCGCTTATTTAAAATTTTCACATTAAATACTGTCTATTATACAAACGTGAAATTTTTTACTTAACTTTTCGAATATGACACTCATGTGCTGATTGATTCTAAGTGCCATGTGAGAAAATTCCAGTAAATTTTTTTACATTTGCACAATAGAGCGTAGTAAGTGTTGACTTTAAACAGCTTAGGGCCTATAAAAAACTGCAAAAGACAAATGAATGTATATAAGTGCCAAGTGGATGAAAACTATAAGGCATTTAAGTGCTATTTATCCAAAAAACAATAATAAGTGAGGGTGTCAAAGAATTATATTTTCTGCTCTGTTTGTCAATTCCCCCCTTTGTTTTCCTTTTATCTAAAAATAGAATTGGGCCTAAACTTTGGAGAATTTAAGCGCAGAGCATGTCTTCAGAAGGCCCAGTAACTAAAGCAGCTGCCCAAATAACTCGACCTAATTACAAAACTACCCTCAGGCTTCCTCTTCGAAGAGAAAGCGAATGAGGGCATTTTCTCCCTGCTCTTTGCATATTCTCCTCTATAAATACCCGCACTGAAACATAAATTTCCCTCTTTCTCCTCAATTTCTCACCCAAATTACGTCTCTCTCTCTCTCTCTCTCTCTCTCTCAAAACCCTAAACCTCCATTCTCTTCTGTTTCTCGATCCCAAATTAATCGAATATTGAAACTTTTTGTACGAATTCAAGGCTCGATTCCGGCGAGTCGCCGCCTCGAGCTCTCCCGGTAATCTCTCATTTCAAGTTTTCCCCTTTTTTCCGAGTTTTGAGTTTGATTCGATGATAAGAATACTAAGTTTAATTGATTAGAGACCTAATTTGATCTGTAGGATATTTTGGTAATACGAGGATTAGTTAGGATTAGATTGATATTTGGGGAAAAGTTTTTACTTATGCGTTTGGGGTTTCTATGATATGATTAGTTGCATTCGGATGAGTGTTAAGTTTTTGCTGGAACGCCTAAAATTTAATGATCATCAGCTGGATTTTTTTTGTTATTAGAAGAAATTGTTAAAAACTTATTACAAGTCTTGATAAAGGCATAGTGCTCTGATCAGATTTAGTAGAAAATTCTAGGAGAAATAAGGGAAGGAATATGTTAGAAAATATTGATTGGAGCTTTGTTTTATATTTTAGTCCATTAAATATTTGCGAGTGTGCTGATTTATTGTTGAGAAAAATGGGTTTATTTGTGTATCATGTTTGGAAATGCTTATTAGTAGATACAAAAGAAGTAGCCTGCATGGTGCTTGAATAACTGAAAAGCTATTACAAAACCGAAGTTGATTTACTTAAACAATAGAATTTTTATCATTAATTTAACATCTATTGTTGATATAGCATCTCTGATGAGATTTGACTGAAAATTGATGGAAAAAGTAAGTAAAGGAACATGTTAGAAATTGTTAAAACGTTACGTAATTACGAGTCTGGATAAAGGCATAATACTATGACGAGATTTAGCTGAATATTCACAGGGGGAAAGGTAAAGAAATATGTTAGAAGAGGTTGATAGGTACTTTGTTCTAGAAATTGATCCATTAAATACTTACAAGTTGTGAACTTTTGGTTTTCTACTGGTTATCATGCTCTTATTTGTTTATTGTTGAGAAAAATGGGTTTCGTTGTGTGCATCATGTGTACTCACTAGATTAAAAAAAAAATCATCCTATATGGTGCTTGAACAACTGAAAACTCTATCATGAAAAGAAAGTTGGTTACTTAGAGAATTGAATTTTATCATTAGTATAGCACATATTGTTCATATATCATCTCTGTCTGTCTTTCTATAATCATTCGCTGAAAGAATTGGCTGATTCAGGGGCTTTTCCCGGAAAGACATGAGCTTAGTGTTCTCGTCCACTGAAGGGAAAGAAAGCAAAAATGGCGTCAAGAGCGATTGTCAGAGGAAGAAAGTACATCTTAGGTCACCTGAATGTTACTGTTCGTCCATGTTCTGGTTTTTCTAGTTTTGCACAGGGAAAATTTTCTCAAGACTCAGATAGAAAGGCTCAAGATTCTAATTATTCAGAGTGTAAGGAGCAGGAATCAAATATAATACAGAGAGAATATTTATACTTCTTACCCAGAGGATTTCCCAATTATCCAGCCTCTATTTTGGGTAGCCGGTATGGGAGATCAGAGATTTCTCTTCCCCTAGGAGTCAGATGGTTGTCACAGCAGCCAAGTCGGACTGCGTCCACGGCTACAGCTGGTCAACCTGAAGTAGCTCGCCAGGATGAGGATAAAGAAGATCAGAATCCAAAACAAACAAAGGAGGCATCGCCAGAGGAATGTGATCAGGCTGTTGAAGGCCTAAGTAGTGCAAAGGCTAAAGCGAAAGCCAAAAAGCTGCAAGAATCACAGAAAGCTTCTCAATCTATCGTACAAAAATTCTGGGCGAAGCTTTTGGGGATTGGACCCGCATTGAGAGCAGTTGCTTCCATGAGTAGGTATGGGTTATTATTATTAATAATATTATTATTTGCCTTTTAAACTTTCAGTGCTTCAGTGTTTATGATCACCTTGAGTTTGGTAACTGAGTTCGCTTTTCTTGCAGGGCGGATTGGGCTGTAAAGCTGCGCCACTGGAAGGATGAATTTATTTCTACTTTGCAGCATTATTGGCTTGGTCTGAAGTTACTGTGGAAAGATATCAGGATTTCTTCGAGATTACTGCTCAAACTTGCTGGTGGGAAGAGCCTTTCTAGAAGGGAGCGGCAGCAGCTAACTCGCACCACAGCTGATATATTCAGGCTCGTTCCGGTTGCTGTTTTTATCATAGTTCCATTCATGGAATTCTTACTTCCAGTGTTCCTTAAATTGTTCCCGAACATGCTTCCATCAACTTTTCAGGACAAGATGAAAGAACAGGTACTCAGTGTAATACTAGCAATTATTTTCTGGAAAATTATCTAGTTGATGTACTTTATTCTACATGAACATGAAAATCTTTCAGTATGAAGGTATATTCTGTAAGTTTTCATGGGAAACAGTTGTTTCTAGGGACTATGTCAAAACAAAAGCTAGAGTTTCTTAGTTCATATAACTCATGGCAATTGTGCCTGATTGTTTCACATAAGTATGTAGCTTGGTACCTAGAACTGTCTTGTCGGTCCATCTTCCCTTTGCATTTTCTCTTCGCGTTGCTGTATAGAAGGTCTATACTTTCCTGCAGGGTGCTGAAGCTGACTATACTGCTTTTGACTTTCATCCTGTAGGAAGCTCTGAAAAGGAGACTAAATGCACGAATAGAGTACGCTAAGTTTTTGCAGGACACTGCTAAGGAAATGGCAAAAGAGGTACAGGTCTCACGTACTGGAGAAATTAAACAGACGGCAGAAGATCTAGATGAATTCTTGAACAAGGTACTATTCCCCTAAGGCCTTTTGGTCATACGTAAACATTTGTTGTATCTTCTGTTTCTATGACAATCGGGTGCTTATTTAGGTCAGAACTGGCGCTGATATTTCAAATGATGAAATCCTAAGCTTTGCAAAGCTGTTCAATGATGAGTTGACTCTGGACAATATTAGCAGGTAGCTATATGCTTTTTACTGGTTAATTTGTGAATTTACTTATTTAATACCACATGACACATGTCAAATCCTTATGCAGGCCAAGATTAATTAATATGTGCAAGTATATGGGAATTCCACCATATGGCACAGATAAATATTTACGCTATATGCTTCGGAAAAAGTTACAACAGTAAGTTCTACGTGATACTTTTTTTAACAATTCTTTTCCTTGAAATTATTAAACTTTAAATAATTCCTTTTGAATAGCTTACTTAGACATGTTAAGATCACTTGAAGCTTCTTGAGCATCATTGCCAAACACTTTACTTTTCCCTTCTTGTTCACATTGTCGTCCATACAAGTCACGTCCATACTCTTCACCAACCCTTCAAAAAGCAACAACAGTCCCAGCACATGCAAACCCCATACCACTGCCCTGTCTCACAACAGCTCCCCTGCCAACCCACCCAAATAGACAGACAACTTTTTGTTTTTTCGCTCAAAACTCTTTCCTCTTTAACCTTCAGTTAGTTACACATCATCTCTTTTGCACATCAGAAAATGTGCGGACTACATGCCTTAATTTTCAGTAGACTAACCTTACTCGTGTTTTGAGAGTTTTTGGCATTACATATAGATATATGCGTAACAGAGTCGAATCAAATCATTATGGAAGATCAGCATGTGGTTAGTTAGCTCCTTTGTTTATGGATATAGCAAGTAAATAATATAAAATTTAACTATTATATAAACATCTTCACGATCAAATTTGTAATTCAGTTTTAACATGAGTTTGAAGTTTGTTGTGATCCTATAAATCAGTGGCTCTGCAACTATTTGATGTTAATGCATCTGCATGGGGGTGAAAACAAGATATATATTGTCCTTGGAAAGACTGGTCAAAATCAACTTGCCGATACTTATCTCCTAGTAGCAATTTTGAATACAATATTAAAATGTGGGCAGTATTTGGATGCATTATGAATGGAGACAACGAAGAATTGTTGGATTTGTAGTCTCCATTGCCATCTAGACCCTTTACAACAAAACCCTTGTTCACAGCAATCGCAAAAGCCAATTTTTTGTCTCAGACTCGAGGGATCATATGGATGTATTGATAACTTGTTATTTCTGACTCATTTCCTCTTTATCGCAAAGTTGTATTAACAATGGATTTTTGGAGATCTATAGGTAAGGAAACCTAGAAGTTCTTGAATTGGACATTTTGGGTTTTAATGGGGAGGTATAACCATGAAGGTGCAGTTGGGCTTATTACTTGGCATGGCTAGCTTGCGGGCTGGTAGGATTGGTTAGGCACTATTGACTTCTGACTTACAACTCCATGGCTTGGTTAGGCACTGTTGACTTCTGAATTACAACTCCATGTTGCGGTAGATATGGCAAGAAAGGCAACGGATGTTGTCTGCTTTGGATCGCGTAACCTCATTGTATTTGGAATTGAGATATGAAGTGGAGTTCCTTTCCCCCCCAAATGCCCCAGGCTCTTCCAAAATTGTGAACTGCAAAGGGCAAGAGAGGGTTACTAAAATTCAATTTGCTCATTATTTCTTGTGTATTTTCCCCTAAAACCACAGTTCATTAACTCCTTTTGATTCATTTAGCATGTGGATCATGCATATTTTAATAAGTTTAGAATGGTGTGCCATGGTTCTTGAAGGGCATTTTTTGTTCCCACATTGGTGGATAGCTAATTTAGTGAACCTAGATATTATTAAGACATATTATTGGTTTTAAAAGCTTGTATTTCGAATTTCGAATAGATCATTTTTGTTGAAAATTTGTTGGAGTAATTGCTGCAAGGATCTGAGTCACATTCCTAAAAACTATGGGTTCTAGTGATTAAGGATTAAGGAATAGAGAAGGTTATGGTGTAATCTGTTTATTTCCCAGGTCATAAATATTGTTCTGCCATTGTACAACAAATACTTACTTCATTGTCAATTTGTGTCATCATTTTCTGTACTAAAGAATACCCTTTGGTTCAATTGTTTCAATTGTCGTGATGGACACAGTACAGTTCATTATTGCATATCAGATCTTGGCTTAATACTTCTGTGAGGATTAAACTATCTGTTTGATTTATATAGGATAAAGGAGGATGATAAGCTAATCCAAGCAGAGGGCGTAGAGTCTCTTTCAGAACAGGAACTTCGACAAGCATGTCGTGATAGAGGCCATCTGGGTTTGCTCTCAACCGAGGAGATGCGCCAGCAGGTATGTTTCAATTTGAAAGAATACAACAGCTATTCTTGCTTATGATAATTTTTTATTCCAGGCTTTTAGCTAATTCTAATGTTTCTTTACTGCAAAAACAAGCATGATGACTATATTGAACTGAAGAGTTTATGTCTCTTCCATAATTCTCTATCGAACTTCAGATGTGTGTGTGTTCGTGTGCACTTGTTGACTATTAGATTTTTTAACTTCTTCAATCACTTTTTTTCTAGTTCAATAATTTTATGCTTGTAATCTAAAGACATTTGCCAAGTTATAAATTGTGCATTCTAATTTACTTATGCAGCTGCGAGATTGGTTGGATTTATCACTCAATCGGTCTCTTCCATCTTCTCTGCTCATACTTTCTAGGTAATTTGGTGTTTTTTGAACTATAATAGTTTTTGTTGGTGCTCTTCCTGAATCCTCCTAATGCAAATTTTCAGAGCATTTACTGTGTCTGGAAAGTTGAAGCCCGAAGAGGCTGTTGTAGCTACACTGTCATCTCTACCAGATGAAGTTGTCGATACTGTTGGTACTGGATTGCCATCTGAAGATTCTGTTTCAGAGAGGAGAAGGAAGTTGGAGTTCCTTGAAATGCAAGAAGAACTTATCAAGGTACTTGCACATAATTCTCTCAAAGAATTTTGTTTGATATTAAAAATGTTTTATTTCTTGCACTGGCGAGGAGTATCAACAGGATAAGTGAGATTTATAAGGTCATCTTTGTAACTTATGTTAGCTTTTTGATTTCTCTGTCAGGACAAATTTGCAAAATTATTTTGTTACTGAAATTTCTTTTCTTGCTTTTATGCATAATTCATTTGTTTGATATTAGCATAACATGATGCGCTTGTAAAATTTAATTTCTGTTGATGCAAATGAAAACATGACTTGTGTATTCCAGGAACTTGCATGAATTTTCCTTGCACCCTATTTTTTAGCACATCCACACTAAGGTTCCTTCCTTGATTATCGTTACTTCCTTAAAGAGAACTATGGCTCTGGATTTTCTCTTGTATCAAAAAGGCACAATAGAGGGCTTCTTTCATATTATTAATGGTTTTGGATATACATCCTTGGCCTTTGGGATCATGAACTAATAACTTAAGCTTTATAGTTTATGTATCAGTTATCTCATATAGAATGAGATATGTGTTGCACCTATTACGGCAGTTGTTCTATTTCTTTCCCTTCATCTTGCTATTCCTGAATTACTAATTCTCAATCCTTACATGTCCTTGGCTTTCCATGGGTTAAGACACCTTTATTTCAAATTTATTGTTCAAGCATAGTCCTGAAGATGCCTATTCCTGAAGATGCCTATTCAGAAGACTTCATTGCCCAAATTTGGCTGTATTTACTTTTCTAAATGCAGAAGAACTACACCATAGCATCAAATTTTCTTTCGGCAATGGAGATATAAAAAAATTCTTATAGTTAATATCTCCAACTTTTTAGTATAATTCTGTGAAGCAAGCTGGTTGCGTTTGGGTGTGCTCTTAGAACAGTATGTTTTATGGCTTATTAGTTACTATGTATGCCTGGGTGCATCAACTTAGGTGCACATGTGGATGGCATTTAATGCATTTTCTTATTTATTCTTTAAATTATATTTATCTGAGAGATGTATGTCATACCTTATGACAGTCCTTGAAATTCTCACTCTTTAGACGAGCTTAACAAGGGATCAATAATTGTAGTTAAGCACACCTGGGTTGCTTGCCTTCCCAGTCTTTCACGTCTCTTGCCTATAGTTGGACAAGGAGATTAATATGGACTTTACGATTTGCATAGGTTTGAGCTCGGAATTGGAAATGTGATCAATCAGGATTTTGCTGAATTAATCGTGGTCTATAAGTTGTCCCCACTTTGGCTTGAATATTGATGATATTTCAGTTTTACTGATATGATCACTTCGTCCCTTGCTTTATGTGAATTGTGAAATTGAATTCATTGTCTTTATGCTTCATTCATCTTTTAGGAGGAAGAGAAAAAGCAAGAGAAAGAAGAGAAAGCTAAGATAAAGGAACCTGAGTTTAATGAGGATGTGGCTTTGAAAGAGATGACCAGTCCTACTGCTCGTGAATCAGAGGAGCTGGCACAAGCAAAAACATTAGAAAAACAAGAGCAGCTCTGTAGAATCAGCCGCGCTCTGGCTGTTCTAGCCTCAGCATCTGTAAGGCCTAAACCACGTTATTTCCTTCCATTTCTTCACGTTTTTCATTAGATTTAAAAAAATCTAAATGTACTGCTTTGAGAGTTTATATATTTCTATTTGTTTGCTCTTTGCAGTCAGTTAGTAGGGAGCGTCAAGAGTTCTTGAGCCTTGTAAACAAAGAGGTAACTTCTTATCTTTTGGTGGGCTTCCTTGCCACTATAATAATTATGTTTTATCTGTGATAAGGCCTTGATGACTGTTTGTACCAAGGGTTCTTTTCTTAATTATGCAAAGCAAGCATTTTTAGTTTGCTGAAGCAGTATCAACTTTACTGCATGCAGATAGAGTTGTATAATACTTTACTTGAGAAAGAGGGTACTGATGGAGAAGAAGAGGCTAAGAAGTTATATAGAGCAGCTAGGGATGAAGCTATTGAAGTAGCATCAGGGAATAAGGTCACATCTTCTCTTCAAGATCGGGTAAGGAACCTTCTACTTATAAACTTTACTTCTGTTGCGTTTTGTTTTTCTGCCATTTTTTTGTCGCATGCAGTTGAGGTTATTGGTTTTTTCCCCTTCCTGTTGAAGGGCTTTAGATAAGTACATTTTTAACATGGGTAACAAAAACAATATGGATAGCATCATAGTACTTTTGACTTCACTAACTAATTTAGTGGCTAAAAAGTTTCCTTTTATTGGATTGACTGTAGGTCAAACATTGCTGTCTGAAACCATATGTTCCGACACATTTTCCTAAGAAAATCATGAAAATTTTGCAGCAGTATGTTGCTTGGGTGTTCTAGTATCAATCTATGGACTCATATAAGCCTAGATTGCAAGTGACCTTGCTAGTAGTTTCATTTAATGTTGTGAGGCCTTTTATTTTGTTGATGGGTGTTACAAGAGGAAGAAATGACAATTCAATGATTAAGGAAGTTCAGGTAGCTATTGAATTCACCAACTGAGTCATATACTCTGCAACAACTCTGGCAGATTTTTGGGTATACACCAATTGCAGCAGGTTGGGTTGAAGAAGAGGCTCCTGTGTCCATCCAACTACTTGAGTTGAGTTTGACCCTATTGGAAGCTGAACCAACCTGACCTATTCAACTGCATCATCTGGCAACTACTAGTTCCGAATCTGCTTTCCAAGGAGAGCTTGTGGACTATTATCCCTGCAATTTTCTTAGAATTGCTGATTACAGGGGAACTTGCCCTACCCAAAAGTTAAAGAATGATACCATGAATTTGTTAGAATTTGTTGGGTTTTGAAGAAAATATTCACTTGCATGTCTCCTTTGTTAGGTTTTGAATAAAATATTCACTTGCATTTCTCCGCTCTTCATTTGCTCCATTATTCAACTACAGTTTCTCTCAACATCTTTGTGTTTATGCATCCTGTGTTTCAGATTGATAGCATGCTTCAAAGCCTTGAAAAGGAGATTGATGATGTTGATGCTAAAATTGGCGACCGTTACAATCTTCTCGACAGGTAACTATTGGCTGTTGTTTCTGATTGGCATAAAGATAAAATGTTTGTCGTATATCCTAATGATTGATTCCTTTATGAGAATGCTCAGGAGAGCAACATAATGTTGCACCTAAGCACTTCCCACTTTGTGCAGCAGTATCTTTGTAATTTTGTGAAATTAATGAGTGGCATTCCTCTCTAACTGAACCATACCCTGCACCTTTAAAGATGAACACACAAGTATAAAATTCTTGCATCTTGCAAGTTAATCTATCCTTCACAAGCTTTTTGCTTGCTAATCATATGTACGTTGCAATGCCTAGGGACCATGATGGCAAAGTGACAGCAGAGGAGGTTGCAGCTGCAGCGATGTATCTTAAAGATACTTTAGGCAAGGAGAGCGTCCAAGAGCTCATCAGTAACCTCTCCAGAGACAGAGGTCCGCGTAAAAAAAAAAATTCATTTCTTCTCATCTTTTGTATTTTGTACGCATGAATTTCTTATTTCACACTATGTTCCTTCAACAGATGGTAAGATACTTGTCGAAGACATAGTCAAGCTGGCTAGCCAAGACGAGGAGGCCAATAACAATGAAGCGAAAAAATAGTTAGGTCAACTATAAACAAAATCTACTACAGAATCCTCTTCTATTTTTTTGATTCAATAGTTGAGGCATTCCGGTAAAATACATACATTCAAATATTTTGTTGTAGACCATCAGGCGATTCTTTATGCAGCGGATGAGGGTTGCATGGATGAGGGTTGCATTTCTTGCTGCTGTATAATTTAGAGCTAGTATTATTTACTATGTACAAAAAGAAGTGACCTGATTCTATTACATATTTATAAAGCTACTACATCTGTGACAGATTAAGCTCTGTCATCTCTGTTAAGAGAGGTGACCGGTTGTTTTCATTTTCCTCCGTGGACTCCGTTGGCGTTGACAGCAGATACGGGTTAGAAGTAGGGGTGCATTCGGTCCGGATACGGCTCAGATATGATGCTTATCATATCCATATCCGTTTACCTATCTCGGATACGGATACGGATATATCATGGTAAGAAAAATTTATAACCATATCCGCTAAAATCGGATACGGTTACGGATATACATGCGGATATATAAGCGGATATGCATGCAGATACAAAACAGATATGAGAAAACTAGATAGTATTGAGAAAAACATAGTTCATGTGATACAAAAGAGTTTGTTAATATGTCCATTATAATTGAAAAGTTAAGATTAGACATCTTGATCATCAAAATTAACCACAAATTCATAATCTAAGAATCGAAACTATCGTAAGAGTATGTCTAATATGTATTCGGATATTTCGGATACGAATACAGATATTTCACTATAAAACCATATATGTAACCATATCCTATCGGTTATAGATTTGAGTAACCATATTCATGTCCTAACGGATACGGTTACGGATATTTTCTCGGATACGGATACGGTTTAGCACCCTGGTTAGAAGGCTTTACTCCTCCTTTGTACTTATGTACCTCTAGCAGCGCTTACACGCCCCGAAGTTTTTAAAGGTTACACTTATATACCGTCACTTATTTGGCAACACTTATGTGCCTGAAAGTAACTTGCACTTAAATACCCTAAACTTTTTAAAATTTGCACTTAATACCCATAGTTAAGCTTGAGGGTACTTAAGTACAAATTTTAAAAACTTTAGGGCATTAAGTCTTAAATTTTAGAAACTTTAGATATTTAAATGAAAATTTTAAAACTTTAGGGTAGATAAATGCTGCCTAAAAAGTGAGGGCAAGGGTATATAAGAGCTAGTTTTAGAAACTTTGGGGTATGTAAGTGCCGTCAGAAAACAAGTGAGAGTATACAAGTGCAGAGTTGGGGACATTACAAAGCGCAACTAAGCCCAAGAGTTCTCGAGTGCTGTGAGAATGTCTGAGTAAACTTTAGCTTAGTCAATTTCGTACTTCCCCACGCTGTTTTATAATTATGCTTCACTAAAGGGATGGTTGATATTAAAAGTTTGTACTGAAACTTCGATTTGGGAAAAGTTGTAAGATTTGTTGCGGAAGGGCCCCTCCTTTGTGCATGGAGCAATGGTGGGCAGAATAAGCCATCATGCAGGGTACATAGGATGGTGTGGTTGCTTGGATGGAAAACATCTTTTGTGACTTCATGGAAAAATATTGCCGTTACGAGTCTCTTGATTAAAGTCTGGTAAATAATCCTTTTGGCGTAGCTAGATTATAATTTGTCTATTTGTGAAACCTGCCATAGTTGTATTCTTATTACTATTGAGATTAAAATAGCCCAGAAGGACATGAAAGTCATTTAGCTCAGCGAACGAGACGATTGTCAATATAAGTGAATTAAAGAATAGGACTTGCTTAGCCAACTTCAACATTTTGGATTGAAGGTTTTGCTGTTATGCTGAGCTGTGTTTAGAAATGTTTTAGATGCTTTTCACTTTTATTAAAGAGGGGACGTTTCAACTTCAAGTCTGAAAGCAAAACTTAATATTCATGTCTTAAGAACTCGATGATATGTTATAAACTTATTAAAACCTGTTGAACATGCTTCATTCAAGCCTGTTTTTGAGAATTAGAACACGAGATGAAAAAAATAAATTGATCCGTTGTTTTTTTTTTTAATTTTCTGAGGGAAAATCAATGGCAGACTTGTTGATCTGACATTACGCGAATAAAAAGGCATATCCACGACATTAGCACTTAAAACAGGCAAGACTAAGCCTGCCAGAAAACCTTAAAACTCAAGTGCAGCAAAATCTCCTTCCAAATTGTAAAGAAAAACAAACTTTATTTAGAAGAGTACATAGAGGAAGGTACATCAGCATTTGTCGACATAACGGTAGAGTACAACATGCAGAACAAAGCGTTCTTAGACTTTTTGAAAGTGAAGGCTTACTGCCTTGTTATTTCTTCATACATTGTTGAGAGAAGCTCTCTTTCTTCCACTTGTATGTATATATAATGCCTTAGTGAAACTTGTGTCGGATTTCATATGTTACCTGCTTTATTTCCTGCAAATAATAAGTTACAAAAATTCAGAGCTGCCCAAAAATCACAGCAAAAAGACTAGGGGTGCATTCGGTCCGGATACGACTCGGATATGATGCCTACCATATCCATATCCGCTTACTCATCTCGGATACGGTTACGGATACGGATATACCTCGGTAAGGAAAATTCATATCCATATCCGCTAAAATCGGATACGGTTACGGATATACATGCGGATATATAAACGGATATGTATGCAGATACAAAACGGATATGAGACAGCTAGATAGTATTGAGAAAAACATAGTTCATGTGATACAAAAAAGTTCGTTTATATGTTCATTTTATCTGAAAAGTTAAGATTAGACATCTTGATCATCAAAATTAACCACAAATCCATAATCTAAGAATTGAAACTCATCAAAATTAACCACAAATCCATAATCTAAGAATTGAAACTATCGTAAGAGTATGACTAATATGTATTCGGATATTTACAAATCCATAATCTAAGAATTGAAACTATCGTAAGAGTATGACTAATATGTATTCGGATATTTCGGATATGGATACGGATATTTCACTATAAAACCATATCCTATCGGTTATAGATTTGAGTAACCATATACGTATCCTAACGGATACAGTTACAGATATTTCCTCGGATACGGATACGGTTTAGCACCCCTAAAAAAGACCATTGACCCATGATGTACCAATCAACTAGAAACTCTTAACAGATGCACAACATAAAGATTTAAACAATAATATGACTAAAGTTTTCGAGCTGTTTAATTCATATGAAAATTGAGAAGGCCTCACGTGTATATGACTCTTTGGACACCCATCACCAATGTATTATACTTGCAAAAACTACTCATCCCAAAGCTTAGATCATGGTTTATATGTTAACAATGTAAATAAAATAAACTTAAACTTAACAAAATACAATTGAGAAAGGAGTTAATGAACTATTCTCGTAAAACTTCTTCAAAATGCTCATGAAAAGGATTTTGGACGCTGCATTAGCAAGCTTATGCTGGACTTCAATTTTTTTTTATAATAAACGGTTTGCTCCTATTATAACTATTTGGATCGCTACTTTATACATTTGGATGTATTTTAATTAATACAAGATTCCTTTGTCATACCACTCTGATGTAGAGACTAATACAACTTATCTTAAAGAACCTAAACAGAAATGGCATCACCTAGTAAATATTTCGACCCTATATGTACCCACCAAATAAAAATCTTCAGAATTTTGACAGTACTCGAACTCACAACACCATCTTATCTAAGTGGTGTCATTTTCAATTAAGTTGAGGATGTGGCTCCCTGCTGATGATATATATCAAATCAAGGAACTTCCACATGTTTAACAACAACAGGATAGTTTGATATCTTGCCAGGAAAAAAAGAAAGAAAAGAAAAGAAAAGGTTCTACATGTATACATACCAAGGGAGCTTAAAAGTATCTTTCCATCGTCCCTGCTTAGAGTAGGTAGCATACAGTTTGTCCAGCCTCACAATTATCTCTGAGAATGAAGGCCTCACAGCTGGGTTTATATTCCAGCATTCTTCAATCAATCTGCACACACAAAAAATGTCCATATATATGTCAAAGATCATGCGTTACTGTGATGGCACAGCTCAATAAATTGGGTTTTATGGCGGAAGAGAAGCAAAATTTGATATTAATTAATAATGATGTTTGTGAAAAGATTATTGCACGAAAGCGAATGCGTGAACAGATGGAATATGCATGATGAGTTTCAGTCTTACATACTTTTCCAACACAGATCAATACACAGTAGTTCAAAAAAACTGGAAAATTTTGTGATTCTGTGAACAATTCATCAGGTGACAGATCCATAGAGATCTTTCTTTACACATTTATTTCCCCGGTCAATTCAAAATGGCCCCCTTGATGCGGAAAAAGGAGAAAAAAGAAGTAATTTATGAAAAGTCCTCTAGTGCTACAAAGGTTTTGCAACAAACCTCCATGTTCTATTAGCACTGACAGATACCTCACTTTTCTGTATCATACTCTACATATGGTCAACATCAACACATTAAACTTTCAGGGGGTTGACAACAGGGTGTCAGTGAGCTATGAAAATTAAGTCAATTCTTATTTGGAGATTTCTCAGTTTTGATCTTTGCACCCCATCATCAACCCCATTTTTTATGGGAGAAAGTTATCATGGTAATGATATAGGAAAATTTTTGAAAACAGACCCCTTTGCAAAAATATTCTCAAAAAAAGACCCGTTTTCACTTTATTTTCAAAAAACGACCTAGTTTTCCACTTTATTTTCAAAAAACGACCTACTTTGTTGAAACTTGGTCGTTTTTTTGTGAAAAATATTCCCAAACTTCACGGGAGTTGAACTCCCGTGAAGTTTTTTTCATAACAAAACTTCACAGGAGTTCAACTCCCGTGAAGTTTGTGAACAGTTTTCACAAAAAACGACCCAGTTTCAGCCTCAGGGCTGAAACTGGGTCGTTTTTTGCGAATATTTTCAAAACGGGTCTTTTTTTGGGAATATTTTTGCAAAGGGGTCTGTTTTTAAAATTTGTCCTAATGATATAGAATAACATGCAAACAGAAAAGCTAGATTCAAGTTAACTGGGAGAAATACTTCTCAGTGTCATTTCATAATCGATTAATATAGTCCTGAGGTTCCTTATGCAGCAATAAGAGGTCTATACTTTATACATCATTCTGACTCTTGACTCGTTATGGAAAAACATATATTATTTTATAAAAAACATGTTCATAGTGAAAAAGAAATCTAAATAACATCAAAAAAATTACACATCCTAGATTATTTGGTGAGAACTTACTCTTTGAGATCAGGGATA